GGACCAAATCCATGCACAATAGGTACTCAGATTGGATGAGCTCTGCAAGTGACTGGGTCGTGGCACAGGCCTATCCCGGTGCTCAGCAATGGAACAGTGAGGACTTCTCACGGATTAGATTACATCCTCCTATACGGATCCCAGAAAGGTTTTGGCTTCATATGATTGACCAGGTATGTGTAACGCCCATCTTTTTACCATGAGAGATGTTGCGTAATCTAAAACAGATTATCCAAAAACACTCCAAAAATAATGGCTAAATTAAAATTTTAGATCGTTTATAGCGGAAGACTTTAAAAGAATAAATATATAACTTAATGTCAGCCCGTCCCATACCGGGTTGCTTTACAAATTTATATATATCATAGATTATTGTACCTAAATAATGAACTTAAATGAACTACCCAAGTCTCTATGTATGCCCTTCTTTTTCTTTGTCCAACCTGAAACCTTCTGTCCCTGAGATGCATATTATAGTCAGCTTATAAAGCTCAATGAGTTCATGGTTTGCGTGAGTAAAGATCATTTCACATCATACATTATTAACGTGTAAACTTTGTACCAAATAGTATGCATTTTCTGAAAAATATGCAACACTGAAAGAAAAGAGATCTCATAAATTGTCTGTCGGGTATGAGTCATTTAGTCACTGGCATTCCCTGAGTTGTCCGACCTGCACCTGTCTAGACACTCATTACGGGGTTATGCCACTTGTCATGTGACTTCTTGGTCAAATGCTCACCCGCTAAAACTGATCATTAAACTTCTAAATAAAATAACATGCTAGAGTTATTTGAAAACAAAATAAACACATAGCATGCAACTGATCATAAAATAACATACATGTAAAAATATATCGTAAGATGTATGTAATTGAAATATCATGCATACATACACATCATCAACGATTCATATCATGCTAAACTCACCTGATTGCGAGTAGGTTGACTATTGATAGCTCTTAACCGAAAACCTACACATTTCATACCATAATATCTCATTAATGGCGTAATTTTTTCTAAAAGTCAAATACGGTCAATCCGATCCGACCTAAAGTCAAACTCCATATCCGAACATCCTATTATGCCTCAAGCAACTCTATTTGACCCATCATTAATATCCACATGGGTCAAACGTGCCAAAGGTCAACCCTTGGTCAACTAGGTCCACCCCGACTAACTTTAGTCAAACCCCATGACTAAAACTCGACAACGGCTTAAAACATCAAAATAAACATTTTATGATCTTATAAATCAAAATCTCTAATTTAAAGCGTCTCTATAATTGATTAACTCGGAAATACGACACTTTAATCTCAATATTAAATCATCAAAATAATTTATAAAACCTCTCAGTACTATGTCTGATAATAACTCTTAACGTCGATTTAACCTTTTAACAACTAAACGAGACCTATGTTTCAAATTAAGATGTCTTAGACAACTGATAAAATCAAATTTCGACAACTAAGAGAACATTTATTAAATTACTAATCAATTTAATAAACCACTTAGGAAAAGATTAATTAATCACTATTAATTCTCTAAAATAAATTAATATGTTAGTTAAATAACATACTATTTTTTTAAATAAATTAATTAAACAATATAACTTATATTATATAATAAAAATGGAATAGTATACTAATTGGTTAGATTTGACATGGTTAAATAAATTACTCAAATACATTCAATATGTTACATGGACTAAATATTAAATCCAAAAAATAAAACAATCCATAATACAAGTGTAGCCCAAAAAAAACCCGGCCCAGATGGCCACAACAAGCCCAGATGGCTTCTGCACTCTCCCAACAGCATTGGCGACCGGAAAACGGTCCCTTGCCCTCGTTTCTTCATCGTTTTCGATGATTCTTTTTGCAAAATCTCTAGAAAATGATTTTCCTTAACCATAGAAACAAAAATCAACGAAAACCATCAACTATTGAGTCTCCTACGCTCGTTTAAAGTTATGGTTTCAAAACCACTCAAAAATCAATAAAAAACTCAAAATATAACATTCAAAACTAAAATCTGAGACATAAGACTACTAAGGTTTTATAGAGGACCTAAAAACAAAGTCATCCATATAAAGAACTCGAAATTTGATTGAGTATTTTACCTCCAATCGTCAATAAACGGAGTTTTTCGAACCCGAACTTCAACCTCCGATTTCTCTTTCGAAACTCAACGAAAGTTCAGTTTTCTTGAAGCAAAAATGTAGAGCAAAGTGTTGTCTACATGTATATGTAATTTTTTTGTCGTAATAGTTGAATATTCAAACCAATAGAAGGCTTCAAACGAAATGTCGTTTTCGCGTTTCTGAATTTGTAGATATGATGCATATTTACAAAACAGGTCCTTCTGGTTTGGACCTGTTAACATCTGACCAACCCCTTAACTTTCATAAAAATACATTCTGCCCCCTGGCTCTATTACTTTTGACATCTTTACACATTTCACCCCTAATATGACATTTTCCTTCATTTTTAATCCAATTTTCAAATATATTTATATTTTTTTTCCAATAAAATAAAACTCAATTTATTTTATTTTCCTTGTTCTTTTTGCTTTCTAATTTATTTATTTTACTTTTGACATCTTTACACATTTCACCCCTAATATGACATTTTCCTTCATTTTTAATCCAATTTTCAAATATATTTATATTTTTTCTCCAATAAAATAAAACTCATTTTATTTTATTTTCCTTGTTCTTTTTGCTTTCTAATATATTTATTTACCTCATTTTGGGGTGTCACAGTATGTATCTCTATTGACTATTGTGAGCTTTTTGAACTGCCATGTGTTTTGTACCGCCTTATATATGTGCTCTGTTTTTTAACATGTTTGGGATACCAAACCTTGGAAAAGGAAATCCAGGATCAATAAGATTAATCGGAACACACAGTTTGAGGGGGTGTCGTCCAAACACACCGGAAGATCGATCAGTACTACACAACATCAAGACAGGATGATGAGTATATAAATTTTTTTGAATATGTAATTTGTTTCTCTATGTTTACTAACAACTTAACCTAATTCTATAATGTATGCAAAACTAATGAGTCGTGAGCCGACTACTACTGAGGTGTTTCAGCTCACTTATTGCACGAACGGAAAGTTCGATCAAGGTTTGTCTGACCCGCCTATCAATCCTCCTCAGTTTAGTTATCCCAAAGCTTATATGTATCATATAAGTTTTTCTAAAACCGTTACTTCGGTTAATAGATACGTTAGGTAGGTTTAAGTTAATATATTTTAATAAATATAGTGATGCTATTAGTTTGGGCTGCCAGTATTGGGTAGATGTTAGGTTAAGTAGATAGGTTGAGAATGTGACCACCATTGGTATTATTAGAATGCTTTAATTGTTAAAAACATGTATTAGATATGTTTGATTTACAACCGTTATGCTGCTTTAATTTCTACATATATAACATCACCCGTTTTTGTTTTGGTGAACTATAGGAGCGATTTCAATCGCTTAGGGGTGAATCACAGTCTAGTACCGACAGCTCTCGCCCTGATGAGGCATATCTTTGGGAGCAGAGTGTCGGAGCACGGAGGAAGGTTCACATCTTTGGTTTCGGGACCTCCCAGGATCCCTCTTATGCTATGACGGGTAGATGTAGCAGTATCACCGGGAGATCATACGAGTCAACAGTGGAGGTATGTTGGTTATATTGTTATATACTTTCTCATTACTAAAATTGCGAACAAATTACTGATTTTGTTGAATATTGAATATTTACAGGTAACAAAGTTGAGAGAGAAGTTGTCAAGGGTAAAGGAGGAACTGGAGACCGAACGGAAGAACACGACAGATTTGGAGGCCAGACAAACTGCCTCGTTAGGCGAACATGCCAGACAAGCTGCTGCGTTAGCCGAACATGCCGCCTTATCGGAGCATTTTGTTGCGTTTATGCGCCAGTGAGATTGTATTAATTTGAACATTAAATTGTATGAATTAGATATTTCAAATTGTATGAATTGGATATTTTAAATCGTATGAATTGGTTAGTTTTAATTTGTTCACAGTTTTGGTTTGTTATATTATGGTCAGGTTTTGTATAAATAAATACAGAAATTATGTAATTATAAAAAAATTATTTTTAGATTAATACAAATAGTTAGGAATCATATCGATGGAACTGTTAGGAATTGTTATCGATGGAATCAGTTTAATATAGTCGGAGAATGATAAGTTAGGAATCATACAGGAATTATGTAATACCATGGTTCATGGTTGCCATTTGAGAGTGCATTAGCGTAGCGAAGAAACTCAAGGTGCCTCCTACAAAAAGATGTTTACATGTTCACACGACATTCATTCCTATTTGAAAACTATTCAATATAAAAAAATCAACCAAAACTTTATCTCAAAACTTGTTAAACGTCAAAAAAAAACATCGTATAAACTTACGACAACACTTTTACATATAATATACAATTGTTGTTGTTATAAATTTACATTTTACAAAACAATTTTGTTGAATATTTTGATTATAATGAATCTGAAACATCAAAAACGTAGATTAGGTATTTGCTTACGGTAAGTGGGTGGAACTTGTGCCAGTAGAAAGCTAATAATAGATGGATCTACAACCAACAGCCTGATCATTGTCTGCTAGTGTGAGGGGTTGAGATGATGAAGTAATCAGGGGCCTACACGCTTTTGATCGTATTTCAACGATCGATGGCGGGTAGTTGATGTGTTTCCCTTCCCCATCTATTATTCTTTTAAATGACAAAAAAGAAATATGTAAAGATATTCAAAACCAATAATTGATTAATGATTAATACCATATTTTAATTGCTAGACCATATGGAATTTTACTGTTAGGTCTTCAGGACATAGGAGTGATTCCAACATGACTCTATTTTTATTCTCTTAAAAACAGAAACGGGCCAAGAATTTTTGGATATGCTGACATATAAATATCATGGCAAACGTGGATTCAGTTTTCTATAAATATAATGTGGCATTCCAACACACTTGCAAGAAACACAAGCTTCACTTTGCAATTCTCTCTACGTTCCTTGGCCATGGCACTCAAAGACACCACAGCAACTCCACATGCCACTGTTAATGTGGAATTACCACTGAAGTCGTCAGCACCACCACCGCTGGAGTACAAGTTGGCGACAGGTGCAGCTGGTGTCAAGGGCCATGACCATGGGGTGTTTGAAGCGACTTTGAGGGTATTGCTGTGTGTAACCAGCTTGGCCGGTGTCATTGTTATGGTCACTTCTAAACAAACCAAGATGATACCCATTTCGCCCACCATGGCTGTACCCATTGATGCAAAATTCAATCACTCCGAATCGTACATGTATGATATGTAGTGACCTTTGGCTAAAAAATGGCGTCTATAAACCCTAGAACATCAAGTTAATGGTTGTTTTTATGATGTAGATACTATGTAGCAGCTGTCTCCGTGGCTTGCTTGTACGGCATCATCACCGGTGCCTCTTCGGTTTTAGCTTTGAAGAAGACAGGAGGAAGCTCCGGAAAGCTGCATTTCCAAACCGTGATACTAGATTCTGTAAGATCCAATGCCGAAGATGTTTAAATCTTTTAATATATTATATTATTAAACTTAAATTTTTACACACACACATATATATATATACATATATATATATATATCTATGTATATACATAGACTTGGGATCACGTGAGATCAAGGATTTTACATAGACTTAGGATCATGTGAGACCAAGGGTTTTTCGTGAGACACGTAAGACCAATTCTCAACACTTGGATTTGATCTACAATCTTATCATTCATAATCACAAAATTGCCACGAGACTTCTCAGTAATCACAAAATTATCACCGCAACTTTTTGACCATTAGATCATTCGCTTATAAAGTTGATCAATGAACACAAATTGGCTTTACGGGTCTCACGAAAAACCCTTGGTCTCACGTGAACCCAACCCTATATATATATATATATATATATATATATGTGTGTGTGTGTGTGTGTGTGTGTGTGTGTGTATGTGTGTAAAAGATCGTGTGAGAAATAGAGTTAAGTTGAGAAGCGTAAAATAAGATTTGAACCCTTGATCACCTTTAATCTTAAACTCACCCATGAATCATGCTTGATATGGGGATTGATCTGATGCATCTCAGTGCATCTCATCTGGTACATCCCATCCTAATATGCATTCAAAGATGAAGGTATTTTCTTATGTTTCTTACATTAATTCTCCTTTTCACAGGAACCAACCCTATGTATTTATATATAGAGGGAAATCTTTTGTTAACAAAAAAAATGATGCTAACTATACAAACCCTTATCAATTAACATGTTGGAGTCAATTATTATGGGTACAAATGTAATTTCGGGTTTTAGTTATTTTTTAGTTAATAGATTTAATGGGATGTTACAAAAAGGAGTTGCATGATTTTAGAAATGATAAGTATATTATCTTCTTCAAATTTCTCAATGAACAAGTTTATAGTCGGAGAAAGATGGAAAACAAGTTCAAGAGTTAAACCAATGAACAAGTTTCATTTATGATCATAGTACACTTATGATAAATGTTCACCCATGAACAAAGTGATGATCAGTATCATGAACATTATTTTATAATATAAATGTGTTCATGATCAGTTATAAACACATGCACACTAATTTTTACAGAAGAGGTGTTGTAATAGAATATTGTGATGTGTACTTAAGCATCATCACATTCTTAGGAAACTTTTGAAATTATATTTATACATTATAGACTATTTTTTTATAATTGTTATGTGACCGCATCTTTATAGGTTATTAGTTTTTCTAAAACAGTTTTTCATGTAATATCTTTTGATAGGACTAATAGAACGTTTTATTTAATTCAAGATTATTCTAAAATAAACATGAATTAGGACGTTTTACCAATAATTATTGTAACACATGCATTTATACACAATAGCACAACTATTTGTTATTATTTAGTCGTATATTAGAACGGTTAAACATACTACGATGTCCAATAAAGGCGATTTTGTTGTACTGGTTATTCTTAGCAAGTTATATATAACCATCTCTAAACAATTGTGAATAGACTTCTAATTAACAGGCATCGTTCATGCAGCTTATGCTCGGCATTGTAGCTTCGGCAACAGGAGCAACAACAGGAGTAGCATATATAGGACTCAGAGGGAATTCTCATTCGAGATGGCACGAGATTTGCAATGCCTATGGTTCCTATTGTCATCACTTAGGAATCTCTATCGTTTTGTCACTCATGTCCTCCATAGAACTTCTACTACTCGTTTGGCTCGCCTTTTACATACTTTTCAAGAAAATCCGTGGATCACCAAAATATTAATTTCCTTGTAACAGTTTGATGTTATTCGCCTTTTGCTATTTTTTTTATATGTGCATTTGTGTTCTTCTTCGTGCCGGTTTGAGTCTGTAAACTTTATGATAGTAAAGATTGCACATGACATGATCATGTTTATTGAAATGAAATATCTCTGTCCCGAACAACAATACAAATTTGAATTGTCATATAATTTAATAATGTATTTTGACAATAATCAGCATTATACAAACTACATATACATTGATAACGTTAAAACGTTAAACAACCATAAATAAGATTAAATCAAATGTATACATTATATTTCACTTGACAACAGATGAGAAAGGTTCGAACTATGTCTATGAAGCTGCTCAACTAATTAAAAGCAATTATGGATCTAAAATTTATTTTAAACTCGGTTATAAGGGGAAATAAAATATACAATATATGTCATGCACTGTATTGGTATTTTACACTTAGGGGTCGTTTACCAAATACTTACTCGGGTAAGCGTTTATCAAGTCACATTACCTCATCGGATAAATATGGTAAGGACTAAGACTCTTACCCAGTAAGAGTGAGACAAGGATCATGAGTCTTACCCGGTAAATGAGGGCGACGACTCTTACCACGGTAAGCGCTTACCGGATGAATTATTGCATATAATGTTATTTTGATGGACTAAAATCTTACCTGATAAGTAAATAATAGTGTTAAATTTTACCGATAAGCACTTACCAAATAAGTGTTTTGTAAACGGCCCCTTACCTGATAACTACGTGAATTAATCATCTATTAATTGCATACATGATTAATTCTCAAAAAATATAAAAAGTTATTGGTAATTTATTCTTGTTATGTTAATTTTGTAAATTGCATACATATTTATTTTATTCTTGTTAGGTTTATTTTGTAAATTGCATACATATTTTAATGACTTAATCATATATCAATTACATACATATTTATTTTATTGATATTATTAACGCATTTATATTTATATTATATTATAAAGTATTAGATAAAAACTCTTAAAATCATTTTTTATAAATGAAGTACTATTTTTTGATGCATATTTATTAAAATTCAAGATTACAAGTAAATTATACTTAAATACAACTTACTAAATCTTGATGTTTGAATTCGTGTAACTATCTATAGATAAAAATAATTAAATAGAGGATAAACATCTATTTTAAATATAAAAAATCTAAAATATAATTAGGATAATCATTGAGCTCTAACAAAATACTTAACTTTTATCTTTATAAAAAATTATATTATTAAATAAAAATAAAAAAAATGAATTAAAGAAATACACAAAAAAAGGAGAAATCTTAAATTGTTAGTTTGGTATTAGTATCAATATTTTTTTTTTTCCAGTTTTTTAAGATATCTTCATATTTATATTTTATTCAAAAATAAAAACATTATCGAAACTACATAAAACCGTATTACAACATCGACTGAGACAAAAAAAACGAAACATTAAAATCGATATGTATCTCGCTGCATTGTGGAAGTACTATTCTAGTAAATATTTTATAGCCAACAGGGTTTATAAATATTTAAGATGCGTTTGGTACACTTAACAAAATATGACAGAACATAATAGAGATTCATGTTCCACATTTGGCAATAATTTTATGTGGAACAAAGTGAAACAAAGTAGAACAGACATGTTCCACCTTTGCTCCATGAAACATGGTGGAACAGACTTGTATTTTACTTATATAACCTCAAAAAAATTATTCTCTTTTAAAACATAAATTACGTCCTTTTTTTTTACATTTTACTCATTATTTAAATTTTTATTTATTTTATTTTATACTTTCTAAACTTTTATTTTTCTCTTCTTAAAATATTACTTTTATACAGTTTCTATATTTTTATTAATTCATATAATTTATTATATATTAATAATTAAAAATAATGTAGAAAATGGATAAAATAAAAATTAGAAACTACTTTTTTTTATTTTAGTGTCATTTTAATTGGTAATGAAAACTTTATAATAATATATTTTGTTATAAAAAATAACTATATTAATATAATTTAATAAATTACATAAATTAATCAAAATACATAAACATATTTGGTTGGTTTTCTGTTAAGTTTTATATGGATAAAGTTGTCTATATGAATTAATCTATCTGCGGATGAGAAAATTTTTGTTTGAGATAGTTTTTTATAGATGTAAGGAGTGTATTTTCAATTGGGGATATATATTTGGAAAAAAAAACTTAGCTTTTTGCATAAAATTCCTCGTAGAAGCTTACTAAATAAGTCACTTTTTATATCATTAAACCACTAACAAACAATCATGCATAACTGATCAAATAATTTGTTAGTCTCGTTAAGCTTATTAACAATCAGACTCTTTTAAGGTAAATTGGTTTGTTGAGCTTTCTTTTACCAAACTTAAAAGAAAGAAATGTTCTGCTCTGTCTGTGTTGTGTCTTGTTCTTGTTCTGTACTAAACCAATCGCACCCTTAATGCTATATTAATCCTGCAAAACACCAGACGCTTGCTACGCAAATCTGACGAATTTGTTCTCGTAAGAGTGAAGCTGCTGAAATCTAGTTTTAGAAAATGTGTATATAATTGTTCATAGTTCAATGTGGCTTTTATATATAGGTTCTCTAAAATTGACTTTTTTATAAGGGCAAATTGCATGAAAAAATAACGTATTTTAATTTAATTCCTAGTTTGGGTAACTGTTAGCTCTCATCTTCTTTGAATGTAAAAGTATCGAAAAAGTAACACAGCAAGTATCGACAGAAGATGATCTGTCACAGAAGACCGCAGAGGACATTCAACAATGTATCCCATCTTACAAGTCAAAGGTGACAGAACCTCTGTCATGTCTCACAGAGGTTTTGGAAGAATGTTCCTCTGTATCAAGCTTTCAGGTCACATACAGCAGAACCTCTATGGTATCTCACAGAGGGTCTGCAATTAGTCTTCTGTGAGGATCTCTATGTACTTAGGTTTATTAGCTGCTCGTGCTAAACACGTGTTCATGTCAGTAATCTGCTTTATTTGGACGGCTTAGATTAAATATTTCGTCAAGGTCTGTCTTGGCGGTTATTTGCTTGTATAAAAGCAGCTTTAGGCCTTTGTATTTAAAAGAGCTTCAAGAATTGTAATTGTCAACATTTTTCCATGTGAAAATCATTTGAAGCATTTCTTTCTCTGTGTTCTTCAAGAGTTCTTCATTGTGTTCTTATTGATTTCTACCTGCTTGATTTACAACTGTCCGCTGCATACTCAATGTCTATCTATTTAATCAAGTTGTCCGCTGCATACTCAATGTCTATCTATTTAATCAAGTAAGTTTTCAATACCCTGAACTGAGTAATACGGTCCAACAGTAACGTATTCTCAAAACTTCGATTTTGGTACCGAAAGTAAAGTTTTAAATATTTAAGTATCCGGCTAACCGGTTACCATGCTGATGCGATATCCAACTCAGTATTATTTACTATTCAACCCAATTTCATCCTATCACTCATCACATCAGCATGGTAACCGGTTAATGCTTCAACCAGTTATCCAAAATAGGAATCAAGTTAGAATACGATACTTTTTCATGTAATTTACCTTTAGATTCTTTTTTTCAAACTATAAATCTTAGAATATACAATCTGTAAATATGTTCCGTTAAACGCATGCAATATGCCCTTTTGGTTATCCTAAAAGATGTACAAGTCCTTGGTAAAATACACTAACCGTCAAGCATTGGGGCAAAAATGTTGGTTTCATTTTACAACGTTTTGACTCGTTATCGTACTTAGATACAATTATTAGCTATATTTTTTTTTTCAAGAATGCATTATTATCAACTAAGATGCTCTAAAACATTAGGACGTGCAGCATCACCGTCAACAGTGGTTCTAAAATTGGACTTCAAACACCCATTATTGGCTTTGCAATACCACAAGAGATCAACGAAATACTTAATAACGACTAATGCATGAGATGAAATTTTGGTTTGGTACTTCTCTAGATATCAAAGAAGAATCGTAATCTAACCACCAATTCTTCCACCTTCCATTTCTATCTTTAGAATCGCTAAATTTGGAAATAATTTGAGGGTTAAGTTAAGTGCTTAACGTTCATATCGAGTACAACTGGGGCCGGCCCATGTGTCAGACGAAATGGGCCACCGCTCGGACAGCAAAGCCCATGGGGCATCACAAACCCAACACACATATACGGCTTAGTAGACTCGTTTTTAAAGAATTCCCAAATTTTTTTGCAACTTACTACCTCGCTCTGATCTGGATTATCGCACGCTCGCCTCCACAGCTCCACCCGCAATCCTCAAAAAAAGGCTCAATTGCTCACCACTCAGTTCACGACCTGCTTTTGGGGCTGCCCACCAACTACCACAACAAGCATCTGGGGCACCCACCAGCCACTAGGCCACCGGTCATAACTCACGACCGGCCTTCCGGCTTTTGCCTTCTCGCATATGTCTTGGTTCTCATCAATCACCCATTCACTCATTTCCCTCGGGGCTTCAAATGTTCTCTTTCTTAGTTACTTATCTAGACCCTAGCTAGTTATATGATTTATTGATTTGCTTGCTTATTTTTCTTTGATTCTTAAATCTTAATGTTTTGTTGATGTTTATTTGTTAAATGCTTATATCTCCGATGATTTGACTATTGGAGTGATTTTCTTAAACCTATTTGATATTTCGTTTTATCATTTGGTTAGGGGTGTTCAAAAAAACCGCCGGACCGCGAACACCCCTACATTTGGTTATTAGGAGCTTTGAGCATTGGTTATTTGCCAATTGCCTGATTTGGTTATTTGTTTATTTAACATGTTGGTCAATATTGCCAATTTCACTAAAAATCCTTATTAATTAGTCCTTCCATCAAAGTTCTATTAGTTGTATCTCATGGTTAATTACTTGTTTCGGTTTGAGTGTTTGTTCTCACTACTTCAGTTCGCTTATTTATCATAGAAATTTGATTTGCAGGTTGTATTAGTGTTTGGTTGCTTATTGATTGTTGAGTTCTTCCTAGTCCTACATGTTGTAAGAGTGAGCTTAGTGAGTCAAGTCAAGTCAAGTCAATCACAACCTTTACTAAATCAAGAATCCGCAGTTTGCAATAATCTCAAAATAAGGTGAAAAGTGTTCACAATATTGTAATGGAAAATAATTCCTTGAGTATTCTCATTCAATAACAACGATATATATACAGAAGAGATACAAGAACTTTCCTAACAAACTTGGCTGACAATAAGGAAACTAATATATATCCTAAAATTACACGATATGCACAACATTCTAATAGTCCCCCACAGTTGAAGCAGAAGCAAGGCACACGCTTAAACTGGACCGAAAAGTTTCAAATAATTGACGTGGTAAGCCCTTCGTGAAAATGTCAGCGTATTGGTATGTTGAAAGAACATGAAGTACGCGAATGTCACCGACTCGAACCTTTTCACGAACAAAGTGGATATCCATTTCGACATGTTTGGTCTGCTGATGTTGGACTAGATTCCTGGATAAGTACACTGCTGAGATGCTGTCACAATATATCAAAGTAGACCGTCAAATCAGAACATGAAGCTCAAGCAGAAAATTTCTTATCCAACATGATTCAGCAACTGCATTAGCAACCCCTCTATATTTGGCTTCAGCACTAGATCGTGAAATGGTGGGTTGCCTCTTTGAAGACCATGAGACCAAATTATCGGAGAAAGACACAATATCCGAAAGTAGAACGACGCGAATCAAGGCAACCTCTCCAGTCGGTATCAGAGTACGCTGTGAGAGTATGCCGGGGAGAGATGGTTATACGTATGCCAAAGTCAAGAGTGCCCTTTATGTACCGAAGAATGCGTTTCATGAAATTAAAGTGTGGTTCTCGTGGAGCATTCATAAAAAGGCACACTTGTTGAACAACATAGGTGATATCGGGTCGTGTGAAGGTGAGATATTGCAAGGCTCTTGCCAGTTGTCTATAGAGAGTGCCATTGACTTGAGGAGCGCCGTCCATGGCACTGAGCTTAGGTGCAGTACCAACTGGTGTAGTGGTAGGATTACACTGTACTCATGGCTGCCCGTTTCAAAATATCGTGTGCATACTGGGTTGTGACAAAAATAACCCCTGAGAGGTACTGGTAACCGCGATACCCAAAAAATGGTGTAATTTCCCGAGATCGGTCATAGCAAATTCTCGTGATAATGTGGCAATAATAGACTTTAAGAAGTTGGGATCAGATGCTGTAAGGACAATATCATCGACATATAAAAGTAGATATGCAGTATGTATACCGTGTCGGTATATGAACAATGAGTTATCACAAACACTGCTGCAGAACCCATTAGCAGTGATAGATGTTGCAAAGTGATGATACCAAGCCCATGGAGCTTATTTGAGGCCGTATAGGGACTTACGAAGTCGGCACACATGATGAGGAGCATGATGGTCCACAAAACCCGATGGTTGGTGCATGTAAACAGTTTCATGAAGGTCTCCGTGTAAGAATTCGTTCTTTACATCTAGTTGATGTATTGACCAAGACCGTGAAACAACAAGGCTTAAAACTGTGTGAATAGTCGTCAGTTTAACAACCGAACTACTCATCGCAATCAATACCAGCCGTTTGTGACTTTCCGTTTACTACAAAGTGAGCCTTCTATCGCTGTAGAGTATCATTGGCATGAAATTTTTGACGAAAAAGCCACATGCAATGTATGACAGGCCGATCCTTAGCTCGTGGAACAAGTTCTCATGTATTATTTTCTTTTAGCGCATTAAATTCGTAGGTCATGGCATTGTACCAGTTTCGGTCCGAGAGGGCTTTGGAGTAAGTAGAGGGTATGGGAATTATTGGTTTGGACGATTGTGTGTGAAGATTGAGTATTTGTCGGGGTTTGACAATACCATGATGAGAGCAGGTAGTCATGGGGTGGTGGGGGGCAGTTGGGGCAGCAGGTTGAGGTGGAGCAGCAGTTTGTAGGGGCGGAATAGGAGATAGCGGAGAGGGTGACGGAGAATGGGCGGGTGAGGATGGAGTGGTCAATGCAGTGGAAAGGTTGGGAAACATCGTATATGGGAGGGGAGGATTAGGATCGAGGAATTGATATGTAGGGGTGGTTGAGGGTTCGAAAAGTGGGAAGGTATGCTCGTTAAAGATTACATGATGAAAAGGAGAATTTTGCCCGTCGAAGGGTCATAGCACCAGTAACCATGAAAATTGGTAGGGTATCCGAGAAACACATGTGTTGAACGGGTGTCTAGTTTGTGGGATTGAGTGGAGGAAGTGTTAGGGAAGCATGTGCAACCGAAAACATGTAGATGATCGTATGCAGGGTGGCGAAGGTAAAGTGCATAGGTAGTGGTGTAGTTGTTTAACGTTTTAGTGGGTAGGATGTTGTAGAGGTAGGCTGCTGTGTGTAGGGCTTCGACCCAAAAGGTGGAGGAAAGGTGGGTATGGGCTAAAAGAGAACGAATTATATCATTTAGACGACGAATCATACGATCAGATTTTCCATTTTGTTGAGAGGTTTGGGGACAAAAAAACGAAAAGTGAGACCTTGTTGTGTGGCAAAGGTCTTGAATTATGTGTTATCAAACTCGTCCCTTAAATCATACTGAAAACATTTAATTTTTCGATTAAATTAGGTGTGAACAAGGTTATGAAATTAAGTAAAGTTGGTGATGGTGTCCGATTTAAATTTCAATGGGTAAACCCACACATATTGTGTGTGGTTATCGATTAGCACCATATAGTATTTATAGCCGGATTTACTAAGTACGCTTGAAGTCCATAAGTCACAGTGTATTATATCAAATGGTGCAAACGTGAGAGTAGAAGATTTAACAAATGGCAACCGTTTACTTTTTTAGATTTGACATGAATGACAAATAGAAGAAACACTAGGTTTATTACATGGAATAAAACCACGAGTACGAAAAAAATCTAAAGTAGAAGAGACAGGATGTCCTAGACGGTTGTGCCACATGTCCATTGTTGAGCTAGTGATAAGGGCGGTGGATGAGGAAGTGGGCTTGGTGAGCGGGTAAAGGTCTCCGGAACTATTGTGGCGTGAAAGCATCCTTCCAGTCATGAGTTCCTTCACAGAAAAACCACAAGAGTCAAATTCGATGGAGATGTTATTGTCATGAGTAAATTGGCGAACAGAGAATAAATTTTTGATAATATTTGGGACGTAACAAATATTGTGAAGATTATATGATTGGGTTGGAGTGGTGTATTGGGCATGCCTGGAACCCAAAACGGGAATACTATTGCCATTACCAACGAGAATAAATTGCTTAGAAGAAAAAACAGAGGGAAAAGAAATTTTACCAGAATCGGCTATCAAATGAGACGAGGCCCCCGTGTCCATGTACCAGGATGAGTCGGGTTGGTTGAGATGCATTGCTTGAAATGCCTGCCCGAGATTCGTTGGATCTAAAGCATCATATGTGGGATGTTGAATCGTGTCAGCGTATTGGGTCGGTGGCTGTGTTGGTGAGTAAGCAACATGGGCTGCTTAAGGCGGTGGAGCTTGTCCAAAAGCATTGGTTGGCGGATTGGGCCAAGAACTAGATGAGGGCATGGCGGAGGAGCCCACCAAGCCCAATGAGGGTAGGAGATACCCGTATACGGTTTTGTTCAAGCCGATTGTTGTGGTTGATAGGGACGACCACGACCATACGAATCCCGTCCCCCGCGGTTAGAATGACCGGGTTGGGTGTTACAACCACGACCCAGACCCTGTGGGCGCTGGTTGGTGTCACGAGGAGTGCTGGACAAACGATCATTAGAAGGAGGCGCCAACGAAGTGACCATAGCACTAGGGTTGGAGATGTTTTGTCGAGCTGATTGGTGATGTTGTTCAAGTTGTAACATGCTTCGTTCAGTTAATAACCGGAACAACGGTGTCATATTCTGGTGGTAGGTCACGAACGAGTTGCAGGACGAGACGATTTTCGGCGACAGAGCTTTCAACATCAGAAAGTTGATCTACTAAATCATTGAGTTTCTGGCAATACTCATCCAAAGGAAGACACCGATTGCAAGGTGAGGTTGGTGAACTTATGTTCAAGATCTCCTGTAGATGGTGCCATGCCTTATAAACGATGGTGTCGGTATCCAAAACCCGAACAAGAAGATCATCAGAGAGATTACCGTATAGCCATTGAAGAACGATGGCGTCGATTTCAGCCCAAGATTCATAGGTTGTACCCGTTTTAGCAGGTGGCGGCGTACCGTCAATGTGATGAAGAACCTTATATCCACGAGCATGGAGTTTGAAAAGTTTTACCCAAGAATTGTATGTGACCTTCGTTTCATCAAGAACTTGGATCTTAATCTGGATGTTGGCGACGATATAGACCAGATGTAAGGGAGATTGTTTAGGAGGGTTCGGTTCATTGGAAGCCATAAAGAGGCGGGACTATCATGGCAGAAGTGAGTGGCGATGTTAGTCGCCGGGAAAAAAGGAACAATGGAAAAAAGGAACAATCGCCGGAGAACCTTAGCTCTGATACCATGTAATGGGAAATAATTCCTTGAGTATTCTCATTCAATAACAACGATATATATACAGAAGAGATATAAGAACTTTCCTAACAAACTTGGCTAACAATAAGGAAACTAATATATATATCCTAAAATTACACAATATGCACAATATTCTAATAAATATTTCCAATATCAAAGGACTACGTTGGAATATCAAGATTAGGAGAAAATAGTTTGTAGTGGCCAGTAATAACATCATCTAAGTAGAACAATCAATAATCAAACCTAAATAATAGAAGTAAAGCAACGGGAGAGGGAGTGACATCGGTGTGGCATGGGGATGAGCTACTTAGCTTGACTAGGTTTTAAACCCCTTGAAAACTCTTGTATTCTCTCTTTCTTGGATTAGGGATTTTTTTAACTCATTCACCTATGACATCTAAAATCGTAGGAGCGCTATTGAGTACGAATATGCTACATACATATTTCATGTAAAACTTATGAATAAAGATATCCAATTAATTTGTTTACTGATACCGTATACCATTACAACCAAATCAAAGTCAGGGTTTAATTAGCAAAATGGGTCCTTGCAATTATACTCTCTCCAATTCGAGAAAATATGATCCCCCACCTTTGATACATTAAAAAAAATATCATCTTTTTCAATACATCCTTTATTTTATTTACCAATTACTTGTTGATAGCTTTAATTTGAGTTGCATACACTACTAGAAAGCAACTTGTTATCGACGGAAATTTTCATCTGGAAGTGGTTATTGATGGGTGATTACGCATGGACAATATCACCGGGAACCAATTGCTCGGTAAATAATATAAACGGATATTTGACGGATGAAAACTAATTAGTGATGTAACATTTTGTCGGTAACAGACCAATAGATTAATTTTATACTTTGAAAAATAAATCATAAAAACGCTTGTTACAAAGAAATTACAACTACAGATTTATGAGTGACCATTAGAGACGGATTAAGGAAGGATTTCCTTTTCCTTAGGTAAAAATTCTTTACTTCTTAGGTAAAAAAATTGATTTGGTGATTATTACACCATTTATCTGGGTAGAAAGAAGATTGCGCAAGTTGGATGGAAATTTGGTTTAACATAACATAGCAATGGGAACGCTAGCTAGTTGATTGGCATTTTTTGAGTGTCATTGCTTATTTGGAAATGCTTCCTTGAAGTTATGGTATGTTTTAGAGATTTTGCCCAACTTGTGAATCAACCATAGAGATATTCATACCTTTTTGGCATAAGTTGTATAAACTCTGCAAAATTGTATTTTATTGGTTTATATTGATTTTTATTGAATAGTCAATTGAATTGTTGAGTTATTAGCTAGGTTATGACTTGGATGAGTCTTAGGGACATTTATCCAGTTTTATTTGCTCCATGTTGAGCTTGGGACATGATATGCATTTATTGGGTTTTTATTTGAAATTACAAGTTTTGAGTGTGTTTGTCATTCATTTGAAATCAATTAATTTATATTGTAATGTATTGGATTCATAGGCATATGAGTCAGTCGTGCTTGATAAGTGAGGAGTCTTGATGTCCTCACTTTGTGGACCAATGCTCAAGTAGGAATTAGGGTCGTCTCGGTATACGGGGGTGAATTTTTATGAGTTGGACTTAGAGACCGTGAGTATTGTGGTTTAGATGCTTTAACCCTTATGTATGAGGGTTAAATGCATCTTGTATCCAACTAGGAAGTTTAAGGTTTCTATCTTGAGTGCTAGTGAGCAGACAATAAAAGTATGGGAACCTTGAGGTTGGAACACAACTATAAAATGAATGGGCACTAAGATTCGGTATTTTTGAGGTGACACTCGAATAAGTGTGCACTAAAGGTACGGTGGCCTTGAGGTGAAATTCTATGGAGTAGAACTAAGTCCTATTTGGTTGTTTGGTCTTGCAGGAATGAAATGAATTTGGGGGGATTTGGATTTTAAATCCATTCCAATCTTATGTTTGATTTGTTGGATTGTCTAGATTTGAAATCCTACAAACATAGGATTTTGAAATTCTTAGGGGGTGCTTGGGATTTTGTAGGATTGTATGAAATAAAGTTTTAAAAAATGTTAAAAACATTTGTGTTGCAATAATCGATTAATAACAATGTAATTTGATTAGTTCTATAATCATTTATAATTTTTTTAAATTATTATAAATAATGGAATCCAATTTCATTCCAAATCCTACAAACCAAACACACGAATCATTTCAAATCCATTCCAATCCAAATCCCTCAAAAATAATCCTACAAACCAAACGAACCCTAAAGGTATATGAAGGCTTAAGGTGACACTTACAGTGTGCACTAAAGTCAATAAATCTGAGGTGTAGTTCGATAATGTTGATACATGGTGGACTTTTGTGTTTCGCCACACTTGATGGAAACGTGTCTCTCCTATCACCAAAATGTGTTTTTTGGATATATTGTATTATTCATATTTTCACTGTTGTTATGTGTTTCGAGAGTATCCATAATTTATGATTTTAGTAATAAGCAACCTACCCATGTTTTTGGTGGTTGGGATAATAGATTTGGTATTTTAATATTAAGCCTTATTTGTATGTTGTATAAGGTTAAATTTGTAATTTGTAAATAACTAATAAATACAAGGGTTTGATTGAACCTAGCTAGATAAATTAGAAATATAGAATATTGAAACAATCCATTTGGTTTTGTAAAATGATGTAGGCTCTGTACGGGAAACTATCTATAACCTAACTGATGGTTGATAACCTAACTAATAAATAAAATATATTTGATAAAAACTAACTGATAAGCTAATTGAAAAATGTACAATGATAAAAAATGACATGTTTAAAAATTAAAAAATTTAAACATTTCATAGTATAGTTAAAACAAAACACTAATAATATAATATGTTAAATGATACAAACCAGGTGGCAAATAAAATTAAATAATAGAATATGTTAATTAAAAGTTTTTAATTTGATTTATTATTATTATTATTATATAATATAAATTCTTAAAAATAACTAAAATTATGGTGTTAAATAACCATTATATATAATATAAAATAAAATAAAGTTGGTCAACTTCACATATCTTAATAAATTAAATATTTCTAAAAAATAAACAATTAAATTAAATACATATCTATACTACATATATAACCATTTAGGCCATTATCTTAATTACAATTCCTAAAACATAAGTTACAATGGTTTTATGCAACAAATTCAAAAAACTCTTAAATACAACTCTTCAAACATGTGGTACAAGCTTTTTATGCATTGAGTTTATTAGCCAGACCTTGCTTTTTCTCTTCTCCTCTCTTCTTCTTCCCTTTCCAGCTTTCCTTTCCTCTTTCCAGCTTTCCATCACAGTCTTTACTTTCTTCAACTTTTACTTTCCCATTCAAAATTCAAAATTCAAAATTCAAAATTCAGAATTCAAAATTCAAAATTCAAAATTCAAAATTCAAAATTCAAAATTCAAAATCAAAGCTTCAAAAGCATGGTCATCTCCTCCACGTCTCTCCAGTCTCCATCTTGCTCTCCTCCACCACAATTCCTCATCTTCCCTCGCTTCACTTTCTTAGCTTTGTGATTTCAATATGGATTCCGAATGCAAGAGTCCACAGCATCTGTCTTCGTCCCTTTCTCTCCCGTGCTCTCCTCCATCGTCCCTGTTCTCGCCGGTGCTCTCCTCCGTCGTCCCTGCTGTCCTCCGTCTTACCTGCTGTCCTCCGTCTTACCAGCATCGTCGTCTTCTTTCATCACACAGCAGGTTTTCTTCATTTCAATTCTTCTACTCTATTCAATCATCTCCTGGTTCGATTCTTCATCTTTGCTCTCAATATTATGTTTCTGCACTTGAGACCAAGCCATGGCTCACTAGAGTTCCAAAGACAACAAGATTAAAGCACCCTTATTGTTGGTTCTTTTTTGTCCTTACTTTTTGGCTCTTTTCCCTCTTAAAAATGGAAACAAGACTCCATCTATGTAACTAATGTGAATCTATGGTATTATTAATTTCATGCAGCTTCCCTGGTAAAGCTGTTGGGGTGAGCATTTCTTCCCAAGCTCCATCAGTAGAAGTTGCTCCTGTTAAGGAAGCTGCCAAGGTGTGTATAGCTTTGGAGGATGACAATCTTCATCTTATCATCTTGGATATGATGTTGCCGAAGGTCTTTTTTTTCACTTACACTTGGACATATCATTCTTGATATGTATTCAAATTTGTTTGACCTCTATTTTTGCTTCTTGATGTATGTTCTGATTTTTTGGGTCTTCATTTATATCTTCATTTTCCGTTTTCATTTCATGCAGCATAGAGTTTCACAAGTTATTTTTGCTTCTTGGTGTTCGCTTACTCGGGTAAGTGAACACCAAGTTATTTTACCTTACCGGATGAATATCGTAAGGATCAAAAATCTTACCTGGTAAGAGTTAGACAATGACCAAAGGTCTTACCCGGTAAACGCTTACGGGGTAAATTGTTGCATACGATACAGTTTTGGTTGACGAAAATCTTATCCGGTAAGTAACTGATAATGTTAAATTTATCGGTAAGCACTTGCCGGGTAAATGTTTCGTAAGCGGCCCCTAAATCTCCAAGTATGATTATTTATTTTTATCGTGACAATTGTTCCCAATGGTTTTCATTTATAATTTTCATGATGTTTTTGGTATATTTTTAGAGGGGGTGTTTTTTAAAGCAATGAAATCCTTTCCTCTAAGTTATAGTACATGTTCTGGAATCTGTTCTCAACTAACCAATTGTCCCTTTCTTTCTGATAATGGTGGCCTTTACTTTTGTTAGCTTGAGTTTTTGATAATGTATGTATTGTTGCTTGTATTCTTTTTGCTTGTGGGTTCTGTTCTATGTTGGAACTTGTAGATACATACGGTAAATGTATGAAC